TCTGGGGTGGCCTTTCTGAAAGAGGAAAAAAATTAATTTCTCATTTACAAAGAAACAGTGTAATGACTGCCATGCAAATAGCATGGACAGGTCTGTATGCAGCTCTATCAGCAACTGACTGCAGCGAGAAGGGTGATAAATTTCACAGCATGTAGTTTTCTGACAATTTGTAAAAGCTCTAGTTTTCAGACAAGTCAGAGCAGTAAAGCCAGTGAGGTCTTTGTGTAAATTTTATAAACACAGCTGAAATTTCCAAGAGGACACACAAGCATCTTCCTTAATTATTTTCCTTTAAAAGAAGCTTTATTTTTTTTTTTTTCTGATTTACAAAATCATCTTCACATCATTTTTCTGATTTCTACTTCTATTCTAAGCTCATTTATTGACTCAACATGCAATAATCTGCTGGAGCAGAGGACCAGCTACAGCAGCTCTGTGCCAGCCCAGGGCATGAGCACATTCATTTCGGGGTTCAAAGAGTGTGAGTAGCTTTCTCTTACTAGTTGCAGCAGGAGAGTAGGTTCAAATTTTTCCTGTGGAATCACAGCTTGGCCGCCACACACCCCTCTCCTATGGGACCAGAGTGGATGTGGTTACTTGTGTCTCATTAGCATGTCTTTATTTGTGTATGATTCTGTGATTTTGGATGTTTTGTCTCATTGCACAATTTACCTCATTGCCTGATTAGTGGTTGGCTCCGTTACGTGAATGTGCTAAGACTTAAGCAGAGGTACTTGGGGTTTATGAAAATATAGAGCTATTCTGAAAAAAAGTCTGCAGTACTACAGAAACAATGATTTAGGATGTGCACTAAAACCTTCAGCTGCCGAACAGACTCCTGCGGTCGTAAAAATTCTCCGTTATACAGATGTTTCCCACGCCAGAGCAAAAACACTGTTGCAAGATGTCACCAATATAAAACATGTCTGTCAAGATTTTGTATCTCAGCTTGTCCCATGTGGGGGGAAAAAAAATTTGCTTCTCATGAAATAAGCTTTAGAAAGACCATGACAACATGGTTTGTGTTATAGCACTTACACTATCGCTTCCTAACATGATCCAGGCAAGCCTTGAAATTTTATTTCTTCAGCCAGACCTTTTGACATGGAGCGAAAGAAAAGAGGTGTCTTCCTGGCTGTACATCTGACCTCTGGAAAAATGAGTTTTAGTGTTGTGCTAAGGTGCTTGTCCATTCTGATTGTCCCAGCGTCTTTGGATTGTCTTCCTGTATCTTCCTAAGCTGGCAATATTTTTATCTTGAGGTATTGGATCATATCTTTTAAGAAGATTGAAGGGAATTAAGTCTCCAGGCTCAACTCTCTTCTCTTCCAGGCAACTGACAAATTTTAGTATGTTCTGTGTGGCAGTTACTGGAAATAGCTGAAGTCTTCAGAGGATGAACCGGGATCCATAAAAATGTCCTTCCTACTTAAGATGACAATTTATAATTTAGTGGCAGCTCCCAAATTAATGATGGCAGATTTACACATGGTGTCACCCAACTCTGCCTTGCTTTATAACAGAGTAGCTTCCTCCCTGAATTGGTACTGGACATCTGAACAATGGAAAAAATGTGGAAATAATGCAGAAAAGCTAGCAACATCAAAGAAAACCTCACCACACTCCTAGTACACATTTTCTTAATTAACTAGGATATTTAAAAGTAATTAAAGTGAGTATGGTTTAGGAAATGAAAGATGATGCTTACTTGGGAGTTTTGCGGTTTTTTCCTCTGTGAAAGCTAGGAGCAGAAGAAATTAATACAGAAAGAAATTCAGTTGGTATTGAAATTTACAGGTGAAATAGTAAGTCTTAATGATGAGAAGTAGCCCCAAGGAGGGTGGGGAGGTAAGAAATGGAGGGGAAACAGTCTACAGTATAGCAAGAAAAAAGGCCTTTTAGGAGGAGAGAAGAATCTAAGAAGAAAACTTTCTCCTTAAATAAAAAATTCATGAGCCCTGTGTATCTGTATAATAAACAAATATAAGTGAAGACTATTTCAATACATGTTTTTATTTTCTGGTATAAAATGCCCTTGCTTCAGTTCATACTGGTTTTTATTGCCAGGTGCAGTATAGAAATCTCATGTAACAGTAGATATGATAACTCTTAGTGACCTGGTAGGATTTTAATCTCCTTCCCAACTCCGTGGAGCAGATCAGAGGGCCCCCTCACAGAAGGGGATCCACCTTCAGTCCATGGAATTAGACATGAGCATTAAGTAACCACTCTGGTGACTTTCACATCTGGATACTGTATGGGGAGTAATTACTCAGTAACAAAGATACAGACTGACAAACGTAGCCAGGGCACCAAATGTGGGGCCTCTTAAACCATGAATTTGTAGTGTGCTGTTTTAAATGTGCCTTGGGCTGCTGGTTCCCTGCCTACCAATTAATCTGAGCAATAGTGTTTGGCTTTGGATCTCTATCTGAACGTCTCTCCAGTTACTTAGTGCATGGGGAATTTAATATCAATAAAATCACTGTGTTACTTCATTCTCTGGTCATCATGGGGTACCTGAAAGATGATTTTTGACCCCTTCCCCCCTTTTTTTTTTAAACCCAGATTGCTTATGAAATTTTAAATACTTCACATTGCAGAACAATTTTTCTTTGCTTACTTGGTATGATTACACAAAGCTCTGCAGGAAGAAGATGTGCTGTAACTACAATGTTGTTAAATAACATTTTCTGTTGGTGGGTTTATTCTCTCCTTCATGAGAATATTTAATTGTCATTGATGCTAATGGGAACTGTGTGTCTTTGGAGGGCATGCAGATTAATACTGAGATGATCTCCTGGCGAAGGCAAACATAGTGAAACAAAAACATAATAAAGAAAAATTCTGTAAATAAGTATCTTCCTCAGTAAGTCCTGTAAAAACTCATCCCCTCATATATCCAGCTCTTTCTTGTAGTTCAGATCATACTATGAAGGGAAGTTAAATTACCCAACAGGGAATGTGTCTTACAGATAAGTTCTTGCAAGACAGCAGAGCATACACCAGTTAGAAAAGTAGCAAGTACAAAGTCAGTTGAATGGCATGCAATTATCCTCCAATTTATAAAGCGCATTTTTCAACCCCCGTAGCATTTTATGGAATTGCAAGTTATATTAAGGAATCCCACTCCACCCACTGCTGACCTTCCTCTGGCTGAAAATAACCTCTGAAAAGAATCAAGATGATTCTAGCTACCAGCTCATAAAGCTAGTTGACCTTCTGTGATGAAAACAGATTTATGTATTAACATGTCACATTCCTATTCCCAAAGAAATAGGAGTACTATAAAACTAGTTCATGTTTGCTTAGAGTTAGACGCATCAGGACAAACGGCTTTGTAAGCCCAAAGTGGCAGATACGGGTTTATTTGGGTATTTTAAATGTTTTTCTCCCCACTCAACAGCTGCAGCTGACCGAAATGCAAATATCAATCTGGTTTCCCTAGGATGTCTTTAACTCTTCATGAATGGAAGTATAAGTCACATGTAGAATTCATTTCTGTAATTCTATAAATCAAGTTCTAACTGGAGTTTGGGTATTTACATGCACGAAAAAGTGATCTTCCTCTAATAAACTGCATATAGAAAATGCCATTTTTACAAATGAATGAGCTCAGAAGTTTATTTAGTGCTTCCAGGTTTCCAGTCGTCTGGGAGGGAATAGTCTGATTCCAGAAGCTAGAAGGGAAAATACAAACCTTAATGAATTTAATAGAAGTGGTTAATTTTTTTAAGAACTCAGCTATCTTTTTACTAAATAAGGTTCAGGTAGGAAACTCAACTGAACCTGGAAACGTTTCTGGTTTAGGCAAATATCATTCAGGTTCACTGGCAGGTTTCAGCCTCAATTTCCACATGGCTTCCTTTCCCACCTAGGGAATACAAAGGAAATAACTAAAGAGGTGGCCAAGAAAGGATAGGGATCTGTGAATGACAGGAAAATACTGGCTATATTTTTTTTTTTTTCCCAGTAATGTCTTCATTTAGATGTATAAATGTATTTGGGATCCAAAGCAGCAGACAGGTGAATGTCTGTGAGGGCTTTTAAAAGTGCCTGTCTGACTCAATTGATAACAAATAATGATGATAGAAAGCTGATTGCTTTTTAGTTTCAAAGGGTCTACAAATATATATATATATATATATATGTATATTTTTAAAAATAGTAAAGTCCTAAAATATTTTGAAAAATTTACCCAATATATCTCCCTTGTCTGAAAGCATCAAGCAGATCTGGAAAGAAGCCAAAACTGGTATTAAGATGTCTGTAATGTCATTTCTAATTTACTTAACGATAAAAGCTCTAGTGAGGCATACTTTGCTATTCTGTAAGGTTTGTACTAAGAATCCTTGACTTTGATATGATTTAACCTCATTCTGACATAGATTTGTAAGACAAATGAATATTTTATAATAAAAAGTAGAAGCATCACGGTATTTTAGGGGGAAACAAAAAATCAGTAGCTTGTAATTCTGAGTGCATGGTTTGAGACATCTTCCAGGCAATTTGCATCAGCTGAAATCAGGTCCTTTTAAGATACCTCAAACAGAGCAGAGGAAAAAACCCTGGTGATGTAATTAGAGAAAGAGCTTACATGGGGCTGTCCAAATCCCCACACCTCTCACTGAGTGCAGGCAGGTAATTCTCTTGAAAGGCAGGCCCCTAAGTGCATGTTATGCCACACAACAAACCTACAGGTGTCAGACTTGCCTGAATTAATATTCCCTGCCCAGGAGGTGGGGGGGGAGGGAGGCAGAGGATGAGATCAATGTCACTCCCAGCACTGGTGCAGCCGGAGAGGTAGATCCTATGGCATTAGGGCAGCTGTGTCGAGGATGGGGGAAAGCCTCGAGGAGTTGCCGAGGCAGGAGAAGCTGAGTCAGTGCATGACTTGAAATACATGGCAGAGGTTATTGAGGAGCAGATTTTGGCCCAGAAAATTGGAAGAGGGATTTAAGGAAAGAAGAAAAGCATTCTCTATAATACATCATCAGAAGTGTTTATTCTGTGCAGTGAGAAGAACCAATAATAAGGTGTGTGCACATCAATTTTTTTAAAACAATTCCAGCAAATACAGACTTTGACCTCCCTCACCACCCTCCCAACAAAAATACTTTGAGTGATCAAAATTTATTTTGATTCCTTTTTCTTCAACACCAAGTATTTGTTCAGCTGGATTTGCTGTTGTCATGTAGGAGGGGAAGGGAAAAAAAAAAAAAAAAAGAAAAAAGAGCTTGAGCAAGACTGTGAAGTTTTTCCTCAGCTCTATAAAGAGGATGTGGATGTCTTGTTCTGAAATACTACAGAAATTATAATAAGTCTTATAAAAGTTATCCAGTCACTGGAACACTGAACGCTTCAGAATCTGTGTCACTTGCAAATCCTTATTTATTTTTGGTAGCTTTTCTAGATAGGATAGTGGTGGAGGAATCGTATCCATAGACAGGTCCACACCTTTGCAGTCACACTAGAAGGATGAACTGGAAAGAAAAAAGAGAAAAGAAAAACAATGTAAGAAATGTTGTCTGACAGGGAAATTCCTATCCTAAGAACATACACTTAAATAAAAAAAAGTCTCTGAAGCAACAATTCCTGGCAGATATATGCAGAGATGTATTAACTAACGTAGTGATGGACAGGCTAATTGCTAAAGCTAAGTTTCATGGTCTGATATCGATGAGGATAAATACAGTGAGATGTTCATATGAGATTTCAGCTCTTTAAGAAAGAATGTATCTACAGGTAAGAGGGAGATGGCACTGCAGTCTGAGAGCTAAAAGGGCAAAGTTAGATTGCATGTGCAAAGAGAGCTTCTCCTGACACTAGCAGCGAACTTAATCATACTTAACTACAATAAAATTAGACACTTAGTCTCTGCTGATTTATGTACCTACGTTGTACCTGTTTTACACAGCCATCACATGCTCACACAGCTATTACAAACATCAATTTTAAACCTATTATAAGCATAATTTGCTACTGATGGAAACTAAATTACTAGTTTGGACTTGATGTCTAACTTTAAGGTGGTCCATCTTAAGGGAAATGAGCACCCTGCACCCGATTTATTCTTGGTTGGTCATTCTGGAGATGAAAGATGCTCCCCCATCTCATGGGCTCTGCTCATTGCATGCTTTTCAGATGCACTATGCTGGCTTAAAATTTAACATGAATGGGAAGGGAAAGGATGAGGGGGAAGGAAGAGGAGGAAATACTCTGCTTCTGCTTTTCTATTCAGGGCACGTCCCCACTGCCTTATTATCGCATCAGAGTCTGGACCCATGAGCACTTTCATTACACAACATTTTCTTCCCCCAAGAATTTATAATTCCACCATCTTAATTTGTTTTGGGGACACTCAGCAGTCTGATTTCCTATCAAAGAGAAAATTTGTTTTATTAGAAAACATCTATGAGCTGTTAATCTGGCAACTTTATTTTAGACCTTGAGACGTCAATGCATAATTTAGAAGGCTTTGGATTCCGTTCTGATTGCTTCTCGCTCAAAGACAACCTCAATTATAAAAGCGTGGTTTTCTGAGGGCTGAAGTCCTGCCTTAATCATCAAATGTGCTGCCATAGACGCCTATGTCTGGCCCATAGGATTTTCTGTTTCTCCTAGCCACTGAGGTGGGAGGATGGAGCAGACACCAGAAGTGGCATAGCTCCATGGGATGCTGGAGATGAGGGATGGCTTGCAGCTCCAACCATGGCAGAACACCGACCGAGAGAGGTGGGGGGAAGAAATCAAATGAATGATGGATTTCCAGCAGTGATACAGCTACATGATGCTTGAACCACACAGATTATGCCTTGTGAAACTGGCTCTTGGAGGCCAAATGGGTCTGCTGGAATTAATAGGAAGACTCCCACTGGTCTCCATGGGCAGTAGGTCAGGTCCTCAGTGTGGCAAGGCTCCTTCAAACCTCTGCAGAAATCCTTATTTCCAGGGGAATGGGAGCAAACTGCAACTGCAGTCTTCCAGTATGTAAAACTCCTATTGAATTACAGCCTGCACCATATGAAGGTATTGTGGAGATGTATCCTGTAGCTTATGAATAGCAAAGAAGGGCCAGCATTATCTTTCCCAGCTACAGCCCCCTTGCCATGAATAAATGTTTCATTTTTATTGCATTTGTTTTGCTGGTCTTTAAGAATCCAAACAATTACGTGGTCAGCAATATGAAAGGCATAAAGGAAATCAAGATCATTTACAGCTAGTTCACAAAGGCTCCTCTATGATACGGTGGTCCAGAGAAATTCTGTATTGATGGGTCGTATTACAAGTGGAAGGAATGAAACTTTGAAATACTGTTATTTCATCTTTATATGACACATAATAAAATCAATTCAAATGTCAGTTTTCAATGGAACACGAGATCTCTTGGAAATGTGATGCCCATTCAAACTTAAAAAATAACAAGAAGGTATAAAAATATTCAGTGTGTTTTAAGGACACGATGATATTACAGAGCTAAGAGTTGGAAAGACTTAATTCTTTTTTCTTCTAAATGAAAAATTAAGAACAAGAAATAATTCTCCAGATTTTATGGTATTTTTCTAATTTCCTTGCAAAACTTCTGAAACCAAATTAATGTTTATTTAGCTTTTAATCAAGATGCTATGAAATCATCTTTTCATTAACGATGAGCCAATTCTAATGCATCTTAACAGATAAAATTTTATCAGATATTATTCTCTAACCAAGACTTGTTTATCAAAACCTCTCATCAGTCTAGTCATTTTTGGCATTATCAATGCTAAGAATTAAGAGTGTGAATTTGTACAAAGTACATAACTGATTTAAATCAGAAAAATTCCACATAAAATTCTTTTTATTTGTCATTTAGTTTGCCCTAGCACATTTTGAAGAGTTCTCCTGGTTGAAATATAAGAACCAGAAAAATTACTTTAGCAAAACAAAGCAAAATCAAAACCTTCCCTCAGACCCTCCCAGCTCCCTCTCATCTTCAACAACCTTAGCTGTAAGATAAAATACCATCTCTTTTTCAGCTCACCTAATTTTAGATCTATACAGCTGAGCTCTTCCTCTGAACGTGTTGTCTATTGTCCTTTTACAATCAATAGAGAGGAAGAGGCAAGATTAATCTCACTCATTTAAGAAGTCTGCTTTGTGAGGAGATGAATAGTGTCCTCGAAGCGCTATTTCCCTTCATCACTATAAAATAAAGTAGATGTCTCACTTATGGGAGATGAATCCCTTTTCAATATTTAAAAGCAAGCCTGAGACTGGGCAATACCCGTCTTTTGGGCTTTCCTGTATGTTCATATACATCCTTGTGTGAGTAGGCTGGTGCAGCACTGGTAGGGTTGAGGTGCTGTACTGCTGCAGCAGCCAGCAGTGTCTGGGCAGGGGGTACCTGCCCTTGTCCTATTCCCACCCTTGCTGTGGGTCCTCCCGAAGAAGGAGCTGGGACTAATGTGAAGAGCAGGTGCACAAGGGGCCATGCAGGGTCTTGGTCCTGACTGCACCTAGGCCTCTCCTCTGTGTGACCCTGTGGGTTGTGTCTGCGGGACCAATGAGGGCAGTGTGGGATCCGAGCATGGATGATGGACCTGAACCAGAGCACTGCTGGGACTGAGAAAAGGGCTGGGACGGTGTGGAGAGAGGAAGCAGCCAGGCACATTCAGATTGGCAGTGGTGTAGAAAAGTGATGGAGGCCCAGTGAGGGGAAACACTGTGCAGGGAGGTGGGGCCAGAGGATGCTCACTGGCAAGTGCCACTGTTGTTGAGCTGGCAGTAGGATGGGTGGCACCAGGATAGTTCTGGGAAGCACTGGGCTTGTCAATCCAAAATAAGCTACTGTCATGGTTCTAGTGGACAGTCTCATGATTTAGGAGTTTGGAAATGCTAAGACGGGTATCTACATGTATTCAACTAGTTTGAACCCTGAAATAATTTAAGAGCTCTTGAATACCACAGTCTACAATGTGCACTGATTTGTGCTCCCTGAGGCTAGTCTGTGCTCCCTGAGCTCCACTCTCACTCGTCTGAATTTATGGTGCAACTCCAACATCCAGTTCTGTCTCCTGAGCTAGGAGGTAAGGATCAAACTCATGGGGAGGGGGAAGCACAAAACCTCTGCAGCAGCTGACATGGCTTGTGCCTAGGAAGTAACACGAGGAAGTCTGAAAGATGAAATCTACTCCATTTTATGCTGCATAAAGAACATGTAGAAAATCTTTGCCGGTTATAATTTTCTTGATAAAAAGTGTTACAAGGCTAAAACGTTTAAATGGTATTTGTGCCCTCAGCTTAAATTTCCCAGTGAGTTTCTGCCCAGTCTTGCCAACCTTGCCCACACAGACCTGAGAAGAACACATAGTTCATAATATCATATTTTTGGGAAACCACCCTTTCATTTACCTATGGGCACAAAAACCAGATATTTAAAACTAAGTGTATGTCTGATCTAGATACACAGTAGGTAGATATGCAGACATAAAAAAATATGCATCATGTATGTAATACATGATAAATAGTGGATATGCTTGTCTTTTCAACTCCATTAATATCTATAAAAAGAGTTTATTATTCAACAGATTGTAGGTTGGTTTTTTTTTTTTAACCTTAACAAATACCTTTGGTCATTAAAGTTTTTTTCTGTAATAGCTTGCAGACAGAGACCCTAAATGACTAATTCAATCTCTCACTTTGAAGGTTTCAAAGGAAAAGTATTGCTTTCCAGATAGAAACAAAATCATTGATACTAGGTTATTGTTGGTATGCTTCTTGCATTGCCTGCTTAGATTTCAGAAGGTTTTGATAATATTTTAAGGAGTCCTATGGCATTATGACAAAATATCTGATATGATTTCACATCTCAGAGTTCTGTCCTAGCTGGTGTAGGAACCCAAGAGATGCAATGGGAAACCTTATCAGGGTAGCGGTGTAGCCATGTCCAAAAGACAGACAATGGATTTCACTGCGATCTGGAAGGAGGAGGGCCACCTCGCTGCTTGCACCTCAACAGCCTACACAACTCCAGTAAATTAGGATACATCTTGTTGTGAAGGGAGAAAAAAAAACCCAACAAAACAGAAGAAAGCGTGCAGGCTGTCATCAGTTATTACAAGAATCCCAGGGAAGCAGGTTAGGTGAGGATTTAGCTGACCTCCTTCTGTGGAGAAAGTAGTGATGGTGCATTAACACTACATATATCTTAACCATTAGAGATCTGACTGCAAAGTGCTGCATATTCCCCTATAAAATGTTAGGAAAACTTGCAGGGTTGGGGGAAAAAACAGCAAAAACAAACTTGGAAAAACCCAAGTGGATGACCAACCTCACAGTCCAGCGAGAGATGTTCCCATCCTTGGCTCGTGTCCTGACAGACTGCAACTTGCCATGTACACTGAGGTCAATCCGTCTTACACACAGTTTCTGGTACTTCCTGGTGAACAGAGGAACTAGGCTATGCACAAATCCTGGTCTGGATAAAAAGTAATGCCGTGTAGCTCTGTTTTATTTCCTGGAAGCTGACAAAAGGGGTCGATGCTAATAACTGTCAGCACGTGCATATAAACAGTTGTCGGGATTGTTTTGGGTTTTTTTAATTCTTTTGTGGTTTTTGTTTGTTTGTTTGTTTGTTTTCAACAGAAAGAGCGTTATTCATGATGTCCTCTACTGACGATCACAAGTGAGTCGGAGAAGCAAGGGGTTTGAAGGTGAAGGAAATTGTCCTTATTTGGGTCCCCCGCCCTTGCGTGCTACCTGACCTTCTGCAGCTCCTGTCTCAGCCAGGAGGGCAGGGGCTGTCCCAGCCTGTGCAGCAGCTTGGACAACTCCACGTTGTGGTCTCTGTAGTAGCTTGACAGAAATGCTCGAGACTGAGAAGGGTGAAAAAAACCACAACAGTCAAAAAAGTAAACCCATGTGACAGCAGATTTCAGCAGATGGCCCCACCTGGGAGCTATGCACTGCTCCCAGAGAGAGGCTCTTAAGAGGGGGCAATTAAGCTCCTGTCACTCAAAGCTCATTAAAAGTTTCTGATTTTTAAAAATATGAACCCAGTGAAAATTCTTTTTAAAAAACAACCACCACCAGTGTGTTTATTTTATGACTCAAACACAGGGTCAATACTCAAAAATATTACCTTAAATCTCCAGAAAGTCCTTACCTCTTGGTCCATTGGTGGGTATTTTCGACCTTTGCTTTTTCCTAGGCACTTTGTTTTCCCTCCTTCCAATAACTGGCACCAAAAGCCTTTCTGAGGGTCAAACCTATAGGGGATTATATGTTTTGAAATCTCATTACAGAAGAATCTCTCAGCTACTAAGAGATCCATGTTAGCCAAAAATTACTGCTGCACACATTTCTCTAGATGACTGAAATACTGAGAACAGAGTGGGAAACAGTCTTCCTCTCTTGTGAAAGCTCTGGGAATTTTTTTCCACAAACTTGCCTTGAGAGTGGCCCAAGGCAAGAAATTTTTCACATTGTACTTTATCTACACTAGCTAATTTTTATTCTACTTGTCCAGCATGTCAGGTCCAAGTTTTAAGTACTAATCTACAGGATGCCAGTCAAGATCCTGAGCCTCAGCCTCAAGGATCTTACACAGCCCCATCCAGACCGTGAATCATATTTTATTGTCTCATACTGGTTTTGGTCAGAGATTTTTTGTTCATGTCATACTGTTCTCTGTATCCCCGTGGGATGCTAAAGTTTTGATCGATTCACACTGGAACAAGGAACATTTTATGGAAAAAAATACTAATCAGCTCTTTTCCTGTAATTAAATATGCTATATTCTCAAGGACATTATAGCTGTGCTCAAGGAATGCTCTCCGTATGACCATTTGGAGCTCTTGCTGTTGTAGGTCAGTACTGTTAAGGTGAGAGGGATAAAAAGGCCAAGTGGATCTATCTCCTGACTTCAACGGGCATAGACTCAATCCCTAAGTCCATTTATACAGACTTGTTGCTTGACTATGAAACGATGAGAAATATAATATTGAAATGTTTTATGTTGATTTTTGAGTGAAATAAGTAGCATTCAGGTCTCCTGAAAGAACTGCTAGTTGTTTGTTTATAATTTAACTGTACCTGAGAAGTTGGTTGTTCCATATCATTAGATCTAATTACCATTTTCATTCCAAAGATGGCATTATAGCATAAACACTGTCTTAGCATTCTTATCTGAAATATGCAATTTGATTTTGATGTCTAAAATTTGAGGATATAGGAATTTTAGATTAAGGCTTTAAAACATGTACTCACTAAGGAATGAACAACATGCAGCGTTAAGTTTTGAATTTATTGATATGGGACTTGCAGCATGCATAAAACATTGAAAAGGTTCACATTTCTGCTATTCAGCAGATGTTTGAAAAGGATGAAGTATAATTGGCTGGAACACAGAGTTAATTAGTTACAGACTACCTTTTTGCCCTGGGTCTATCTATATGACATGGGTGCACTTGCAATTTGCTTCTGTACATAAGTGAACTAATTTCTGGAGAAGGGTGAACCTTCTTTGCATTTTTTTTTTTCTTGCCCAGTCTTTTATTGCAGGTCTGACCCTTGTTTCCTGAATTGCCTCAGTAGCTGCACCAATTAAAAATAAATAAATCATTGATTAAATGGATATATTGATGATAGATTAATTTCTACTTTGGCCTTTTCCATCTGCTCATTGCACGGTGAAGTACTTTAGCTGGCTTGCACTAATTTCCCAAGAGGAGCAGCAATATAGTGTGCTGGGTAAAAAGAAAACTGAAAACAATATTTCTGCCTCAAAAGGAGCATACTGAACATTATTAAGAGAATGTGCAAATTTGGGTAGGGGAAAAGAGGGTAAGACAGCTCAGACTGAATTCAACTCGTTGCGTTCAGGTATCACGAAACTCTCAGGACTCCTGAAAATGTAACTGGGCACAATGGAAGCAGTGATTTAAAAACAGTGTTAGCCATTAGGCTAAAGTGACAAGGGAGCTTTTTAAAGCACTCGGGGAAGAAGCCTTTCCTCCAGGATGGGTTATCTTTTCATCCTTCGCAGAGTAGGCCTGTGGGAGATGACGGGTTGAACCCAGACACCCAGACACCCACCCCACCTCTCCTGAACTCTGTACCTGCTGCTAGAGGTGGGGAGGGTGCCTGTCAGGGCAGGGCTAAACAATGCCACCACGAGGATCTTTCTCTTACTCTCTGACAAAATGTAGCAGCACTCCAAGAGAAACATTTACTTAAGCAGGCTTCCCTAACCCTGTGTTTTCCTTCCTTTCCCTCCTGCTGTTCGCATGAGGGAAAATGGGGGAAATCTGCCCTGGGTGTGGAGCTGCCTCTGTGAGCAGAGTGTGGTGTGATGAGCCGGGCTGGAGGAAGCAGCATTTTAGCTGCCCTTTGCCAAAGCCAAGCTCTGTCCTGCCTCTCTTCTTTGCTGGCTGCTGAAAAAAATGAAGAAAAGAACCACTGGCCCACTCTACCCCAGACCTGAGTCATCTGAGGATGTTGGGCATGAAATGCATCTTCCTAGCAGAGTAAAGCTTCAGGAGGGATATCCTGTGATTAAAAGGAAAAGTCTTCTATAACGTTAGTCCCATGTGGCCTAGGTTTCTGTTCATTAAGTTCAGATACTTAAAAAATGCAAGCTCTCAGTCACTCCCTGCGAAAACTCATGGGTGGAGGAGAGGTGGGAGATATCTTTTCAGTGCCGTAGTGGGAATTCATGAAGACCACTGACTAGTTTCCCTCTCCTAGCACTTTGTGTGGGGATCCCAATGTCTTTCTATTGATGGCATTACCTGTAAAAGCTTTGCAACATTAGTTGATTTTCCCCTTTTGTTTTCACTAATAAAAAGTACAGGACATAGAATCATAGAATCACAGAATACTTTGGAGGAGAAGGGACCATTAGAGCTCATCTAGTCCAACCCTGCTGCAATGAGCAGGGACATCTGCAACGGCTCATTGACCCGGCCTTGAGTTTTTCCAGGGATGGGGCATCTACCACTTCTCTGGGCAGCCTGGGCCAGTGCTTCACCACCCTCATGGTAAAAAAAAACATTATTCCTTATATCTAGTCTGAATCCAGGTCCTCTTTAGCAGTGTGCGTAAGAAGTGACAACCTAGTTGCCTGTCTCAGCTGTGGCTCTGTACTAACCTGGCATGATGTGCATTTCTCTTCAGATGCCCAAGCCCTGCCTCTGTCCCCCCTCTGCTCTCTTTCCATGGCTCTGATTAATACTGTCCTGCCTGGGTTGATTTTACTCTCCAATAAGACATTCATGTAATTACTCAGGGTGATGAACCTGTTGCTCACTAGTGTTTCCAGGACTGAGTCCTTGGGCTGCTTTGTGACAACTTTAAAAATGTGTGGTATACAGTTATTAAGCAGTAATGACTAGGAACAATCCTATGCAATCTTTTTTACTTTGACAGTCCTACCATAAAACAACTACATTGTTTAATGCTTTTTTCTCTTCCATCCTAAGTTTGTACAGAAGTGTTTACTTCTACAGAACATTTGCATTCATGATGCCTCTAAACAGTGATTGCATAATTTTATAGATCTGTTTACAATCCATTTTTCCTGTCCAAACAAATATGAGAGGCCAATTTTTTTCCTGGTGTGTGAGTCCACTGACTTTAATTTAGTTACAGAAAGGAAGATATATGCATGTGGGTGTGTATTTTTAAAAACCTAGCAGAAGGCACTGCAGATGTGCGGCAGAAGTTGTTCAAACATGAAGTAGTTCAGCTGTGTATTCAAACTCCTCTATTTCATCTGCTTTGGGAACCAATGACTTAAAAAATTACATTCTGAAATTCAAATTTTTTCATCTAGGAAAAGATTTTGGGAGAGCGGAATTCTTAAGATCCAAGGAGCAGCAAGCACTCAACTTTCACTTTATGCCCATTATATACATAATCATAACCCTCCCAGCGGAGGAAACATAAAATAGTAATCATAAGCAGAGAGGAGGCAGCATGGTGTAGATGGAAAGTCTGTGGTCTCATTTTCCCACAGATTTCCTGGTACCAACCTGCAGGGAAGGTGAGATATGGGCTTTTCCACTTCCCACCCCATGTGCAGGCATGTGCAGGCTTGTGCTTTCTGCTTGCAAACTGACTTGGAAAAACCTCCGCTGCAGCGCCAGGCTTCTCAGCCCACAGATGTCCCAAGGCTTGCCCAGCCCAGAGCTTCTGGCTGTAATGAGAGGGTGCTCCTCATACAGAGAGGCTCAGTGCAAAAGCTTCTTACAATTTTCTGCCAGACTAAGAGAAATTCAGCCCACTCCCGCCCCTGCCGATACTCTGCCTTCAGGGAATTGAGAAATGTCAAAGAGAGAGTGCCACACAGGCCAGTGATCCCCTTTCGTGGGGAAAGCTTCACCCTCTGGGTAGTGATGATGAGAAATGTGATCTGGGCTCATCCCAGCTGCCCTTGCTAGATCTGAAACAAAGGCTGTGGGAAGCCAGTTCAAGGGCTTTCCTTAAGTTCACGGGACCTTTATTTGGGCTCCTGCAGAGCATCTGCAGTTTTGGTACTGACACCCCAGGCTGCTCAGTCTGAGGATATTGTGTTTCATATGCAAATATGAGTTTCTCTCCATGCTTCAGGTGCTGTGCTTGAGCCCAGCACTTCCAGGTTAGGAATTTCCTGATGATTTTACCAAACTTTAAGTGTGCAGGCTAAATTCTTCTGTGCCTTGTGTCTGGCTACTACCAGGTAAAAGGTCAGCAGAATTGTCTCAACCATATATGAAAATAGGATTAGGGAATGATATATTTGGTCCACGTTAAAAGCAATCAAAGAAACCCTGCAACCAGATTAATTTTATCATACTGAGTGCAGTATCTAACCCAATCTCTGTCATTAGACTCCTACATGAATGTGATAAAAACATTTAAGCCAAACTTTTCCACCTGACACTAGTGGTCTTCAGCTTCTGAAGACTGTCATAAGGTTCAGCAGTCTGATGTGCAAATGTGTGCTGAGCTCTTACATGCACAATTCACATCAACTGAATATACATTTTAAACAGTGCAGCAATGAAGGCAAAACTAGGTAATCCAAGAAAAAAGGTCCTGGGCATCTCTGATTGAACTCTCAAACTTATCAGACATTTTTTTTTACATGAATCTAGGCCTTTGTTCTGCATCTAATACAAAATACTGAGCAGTCATTTGTTTTGTATGTTGTGCAAAGTAGTCTGCATGTAGAAACGTATGCAATCATGCAATTAAATTCTGTAATGTATTATAAGCATGCAAATTATCATTATCATTGTTGTACTGTGCTTTGTGTTTGTTTGCTTGTAATTAATGATCAAATGATCTTGGTAAGAGGGAATGTACACTGTGATCCCATAGGGCACATAAAAAAGGAGAAGACTCACGTTAGAGCTTCGGAGTAATTATAATGAGGAGAGACTCCAAGAAACTTCTGCACTTCATCCATCACAGTAGCTGGGTCACTTCTTAGCTGCTGTCCATCAATAATAAGCAACTGTAGGGGTAAATATGCTAGCTATTTAGAAACTGGACTAAGATTAACGAAGGAATGATATTATTTCCCTTCTGTGACAACATGGATTTAAATTAGCATGTGACTTTGTACAGTGCCAATAACAATCATATGGATTAATTTCTTTTTAAATTTACATTTTACTTTATTATGTTGAATACATATAGGTGAGCACCTTGGTAACTTTGCGTGTGCACACCATTCGAATGCGAGAGTTAAATCTCACAAGCCAAACCCAAGCGTCAGAGCATTCTGAGAAAAAGAAAAGGAAGGAAAGTAAAAATATTATTGAGGTTTACAATGTGTCCATAGAAAATCTGGTATGGAATAAGAAAAATAACAAAAAGATCATATATATCTTAGAATTAAATGTTCAGAAACTAAACAATTACATGTTCAAAAGTGATATTGTGGGAATTTGTCTGAAACTTACCACCAGCCTGTCAACTGCATAGGCTTGCAGAATTGTCAGCAAATGGTTTTTTTTTGTTTTGTTTTTAATTAAAGATTGATGTGATGTAAAGGAACATTGACCTCCACAAGCAAATGTTAAGACAATGTATCAAAAGTCTACTGGAGTACCAAGCATATTACTAATAACTATTCTGGGCAGACGTGCTTTATATTTATTGTGAAGGCTTATTATAAATTATTAAGTTTTTGAGTGCATAGGCTGAGTGAATGCACATTACTGAGTGCCCATTAGTAAGCATTGTGAGTGCACTCTCTGTGTGCACCTTATTAAGAATGAGTGCATTTTGTTGTGTATCTTGTAAAATTAATCACTGTAACTATGAAACATGAGTGGTTACCGGTTTTACAAGAAATATGTCAATGTGCCCCTGAATGTTTAATAAGAGGGCTACGCTCACTTTCTGCTATGGCAGGAGGAGAGAAATCTCCCTGAGAGGGGGCAGCAGTCCTGGGTGAGGGCAGAGAAGGAGCACAGGTAAGGGGGCAGGGAATGTTCGGCACCCTTTGCACCCTCCAAATTTGCCAGGATGGCCCCTTCTCCTATGGAGAAATAAGTTGGGACGTGGTGGCCGATAAAGAGATGTGCCCTGTTTTCCCATAGGGCAGTACTGCCTGGGGATGGCCCTTGCTTCAAGCTCAGCTTCTTCGTGCAGTACCCCTTCCCCATTTATGAAAGAGTAGAAAGGCCAGAGATGAAAGCAGAAAGTAAATGACTAACTGAGAACTTCTCCTTTCTCCTGGAAATGGGGTTGACCTGCTTCTCCTCTTTGTAGTACAGCTAAGACTGTATAAAAAAAGGGAGGACTGCAAAAAGACAGAGCTTCTATTTATTTATTTATTTATTTATTTTTAGGTCCATGACTAAATAGACAACACTCAGTTCTACCTCCTTTCAGTAAAATTCTGTCCCATATAGAATAAACTCTAGAGATACTTGTTCATTATACTTGCTCATTAAATACACTTTTACAACTTTTTCTTACACTAGGTAGACATATGAACTGAGCTATGGACCACCGTGAAGAGTGCCCATGCATATATTTTGTAGTACTAAGAAGTTTACTTGAGGTTTATATATGTAAACAAATGTTTTGGTAATGGGAATATTCTTTAGATCTATGTGTTTACATATATTTTTTTTTCATGGGAAAGATTATAAGACAATTCAATAAAACGTCTGAAGGAAGATGGTGCAAAAGAAGGAATTTCTGCTCTAATGCTGAGAAAGACTAATTCCATTATCAGGATCAAACAAATGTGAAATTTTCTATGAAAGGAAGTAAGTGGGAAGTGGAATTAAATTACTTTTTAGAAAAAGCCCTGGCATTTTCTAAATTAATTTGTCGTACCTTCCCACAATGTCTCATGCTGCAGCTGCTTGTTTCTTGGGACCCAGAAGCTGAGTGTGGACACAGTTCATAACATTTTCTTGTTGCGCCTTTTCCATCAGAAGACAGAAAAATCAACATGCTTCTGCCAGGTATCCTGGTCTTTTCACATCTGCATTTCCTAACAGCTCAGAGTTGCAGTGGGAAATATACCACCACCTCTAATGTCCTCTACCACCACCTCTAATGATGAGGCCATACTCATTTTGAGACTTTGCAAGTTGATGAGCTTAGTGAAAGAACAGGCTGGAAATTACCTGTGAAGCAGGGTAATGAGATAACCATCTTTCAATATGGACAGCGTACCATCCAGGTGTCAGGCATCTCTTCTGGAGAGTCCTTATCTCCAAGGGTGCCCAATGGCTGGATGTAATGACTTCATAAAAGTTGAATTTCAGGGCAGCGGGGTCCTCATGGGATCGCTGATGCTAACAGGAGATATTTAGACACATATAACAAGGATGTTGAAGATTAAGCTGTAAGCCTCTTGAGAGCTGCCAGGAGGGCTGTGCTGGCATGGCCTACCTACAGCTGGCAGCCCACAGGAGCCCTTTGGCTTCCCATCAGTGCCACTTCTGACAGGTAGGAGCAGGGCAGGTGGCAAGGAAGCAGGGTGGGGCCACCATTCAGTCAAGGGCCCTCCTGGGACCCTGGGACAGCCAAATTCTGCCAAAGTAGGCACATTTTTTTCTACTGCTTTGCATCTCACATTGGCAGTGGTAAAGGTGCAAATGAGATATCAAAAAGAGTGTAAACTGTAGCCCTGGACCATGTTTTATTCCTTGACGAACTCATAACAGCAGTACCAGAAATGCTGTATTTTGTGCTTATTGCAACATTATTAATTTGTGTCTGTTTTCACACTGATTTTAGAATTTCCTTAATCTGTAGGACTACACCGTATTTTTACATGTATGCTTAAACATCTCTTTAAAAATCGGGATTTTTAAAATAGTGCAGATGTTATGGAAAGGTGTGGGCTCAGTAAAAGGCAAGAAAGAGCATCCTAGTTTCCTCAGAAAAACACCAGGCTTTCTTTTGTTTCCAAAGAGGAAATAAAAAACAAAACCAAACCAACTCTCCAGACACAGTTTTTTTTAACTCCTTGGAAACTTTAAAAGATGCTGTATACATTTGTACACCACTGCATATTGCTCAGCTTACATGTTGAAGGATGGGATGAGGTACCAGATTCTCAGCATCAAGAGCTCTGATTTTCTAGCTAGGCCATGCTCATTTTCCCCTGTGTATCTCTCTGGGCGAGGAGCACTGCTTTTCCTCTATGCAGTGTCAGCTGTAATTGAGATTAAACTGTTTGTTTACAGCTGGTGGCAGCTCTGTGCTGAGAAGTTTCATCATTTATGACACTGGTGTCACAGGTGCCAACTGCAAAAGCTGGCATTCAGCATCCTTCCCACTTCTACATGGTGAAAATGCTTTGCAATAAATCCCATTCTTGCTCAAGGACACAAATTCCCACTGATGCTGGGCATTATCCCCTGCCATTGATTTCACTGGCTGTTTCTCAAAGGCAAGGTCCATACCTGGTACCAGGAATACGCCCGGTCGGATGGGTCAATAAGGATGGTGATGATCTTGGCCTTGGGGATGAGGGAAGCAGCTCGCTTAGGAGCTTCCTCGGAATGGAAATAGTTGGCACTTTTCTCAAAGAGGAAGTCAGTGGTGACATTAGAAGGAGTGGGGAAGAAATCCATGTACCTGTGAGGTGAAGAAGCTTGTTAGAATTAACAGTATCACAAAAGGGTCATATCTCCGTGCTTCCCATTTCATGGTAGGTGAAAAGGTGAAGTTTCAGACATAATTCTCAAGAAGCAAAATTGAATTTCTCAGCTCACTCCAGAACTGGATCTTGGCTCTTACATGGTACTGGTAATAGCTAAAGCCTCCATGAAGTCAGGTAATTAGGTTTTTCCTTTGATGGGTGGTATTTTTGCTGATAAGTTCAATGTCAAAAGGATATCTTTGACACTTTGGAGTGACTCCAGCTTTAGCTGCAGAAAAAAATGGGAAAACCTTCAAAATGTCAACCATTTAATTTTAGTATTGTTGAAATATTTCATTTTGGAACTGACAAATCTTTTCGATGTTTTCAGAATGTAAGATTTGAATTTTGGTTTTGGATGGCCTTTTCCGCTTAAAATTGATTGGAAGTAAAACAGAAGGTTCATCTGAGAGGGTGAAGAATTCAGATGAAGCAAATGATGAAATTGTTTTGGAGGCATTTTTTGGTCCCTTTAGTTTTTCTGAGCAGTCCAGAAACTTCCAGTTCTGGTGGGACTAACTTTTTTCGGTGTTCTTTCTATGGAAAGGAAGTATGTGGGGCTTCACCCTGCACATAGGACCCTACCGACATTTGAACCTGCAGGCCAGTTTTAGTGAAACATAGCAGAAATCATCTCTGAGAGGGCAGCCTCTTCCATTACGTATTGTGCAAAGGGCTGCAGGGAGACCCACCTCCATCACCATTCCTTCTTCTCTGAGAGTATTACACCATGTACTCTACAATAGCCATGGCTGACCTTGTTCTTTATGCAGTATGGAAAAACAAAAGCCAATCATTTCTTTCCATTTATTTTTCATGACACCTTGAACTGAGAGGATCACCTCGTAGTTACGGGGACAACCTGCTTTTATCAGGCAGCCTTGCTTGCTCCACACTCTCTCCATGCCGTACACAGGCAAGGAAAACCACTCAAGATTAATGTGTTTCTGCGTAGTGTGATGTTTGTCTTAAATTTCAGTTTTCACACAAGGATGAGAACTGCTGTTCCCTGTGGAAATTAAACCCTTACAAAAATGCTTTTCTTAAGCAAAAATAGTAAAAGCAGTATTTAAAATTGTGATAGGAACACCAGCTGAAATGCTCTACAGTGCGGTTTTTTTTTTTTCTTACGAAGAGACAAATTGAATCTTACTTCTTGAAAAGCTGCTTTTGAAGAAAAAGAATACAATTCAGTATAGATGTTGTTATGAAAAGACAGAGATGCTTTTCAGCATGAAGACAGACATCACAAATGAGCTGGCTATTATATTCGTTTGTGAAAAAAATAAGAAAATTGTTACTGTAATATCTAAACAAAATTAAGGACTTGATTAAATGTCCCATCATTACAAATTAGTTTCTCTTTTCTTCTGATAATGCCAAGCATAACAAATTTATCCAGTAATTATATCAATGTCATACATGCTTCTGTAATTGTTCCATTGTGATTTACTATGTATTAGTAATGAATACTTCTTTTTTGTTATTCTTCTTACCAGTCAATTCCCTTGTGATAGTTGTTTCCATTGAAGAACTGAACTTCTTCAAAAGTTTTTGGACTTGGGAGATTACTGATAATGGAAGGATGCATCAAAAGAAATAAATAAAGTGCTGTTGTTCCTACGACAACGAAAAGAGATGCCATTAAGAAACAGAAAAAAAAATCCCTTTGACTTTATTCATTCAAGAAAGTACTTTAAATCAGTGCACACTGAAATATACAGGAAAATGAGATTACCTTTTATAAGAAAGTTGACTATTGATGAAAGGCCTATGTAAGCACAGGGGGCTTCAGAGGGAGGGGGGGAATATGTGCAGACTTCTCTGCTCATCAAAATTTTCCCATTTCCAAACTCTGAAATCTGCTCTCTGATGCAAGCACGATGTTATTGTCAATGACATTGCTTGCTTGACTGTTTTCAAACTACTGATGTTGCACAGAACTTTTCAAAAGTACTAATTGTGGGATTATGCTTTTCTTACTTCCAGAACTGCACTTTTGTCCTCTGTGGATTTTTTTTCTGGGGGTCTAATATTGAGGAACAAATCATCTATTTCAATAACTAACCTGTATGTGGTAAGTATGCTTTAAAATACCCGTAACAGTATTTTCTTGTTATTTGTTTGGCAAAAACAACTGGAAATGATACACAGTGGTAAACTAAATTTTGGGAAAATATGTCTTTAAACTTGCTATTCAGTGATTTCATGCTATGCAAGCTATCGATGGATCAATCGAGACCTGCTGTCTCTGTCACTGTCACAGAAATTCTATATGATCTTGGATTACACATTTATTTCCCTGCCTCAGCATCCACTTTCTGTGATATGTCCACGACAGTAATAGCTGTCTTGAGAGTGGGAATATGTGGCTTCATTCAAATAATGCCCTTGAGATCCTCAGAGGCCTGTAAGGTGGTAAATATATTTATTGTCAATTAGGGTCTCAAATGATGTTGAAGTAATTTGTCAAAGAAAATAATAACGATCTTAACACAGGGCAGCTTGACAGCATGCAGGTTTGTTTTTTTTTATGATGAATGAATGTGATTTTACTATACAAACAGTTGTCCTCTTCTGTTGACAGGAAAGGAGTTATATCTGAATCCCATAGGGACTGGGACTGCACCGTCCCTATAGCAGGGAGTTGGGTTCTGTTTACAGGACACAAATACACAGATACAAAACTGGGAGGCTAGCTTCTGTTAAAAATTCTTTACTTCTTACCTGTTTTCTGGGGTCCTATGACAAGAAATTTGGGTAGGTGGTCACAAGTTTTGTCTCTGGACCAAATATCCCTGTGTCGTTTATCATCACATGGATTCTGAAGAAGAAAAAGCAGTTGTGTATATCATGCTGGGGGTATCCTAAATGTTTGCACGCATGTGAGTCTTTTCAGGATCTGAACGTTATACACTAATTCCAGAGCCTTACACTAAGTATTAAAATCCCACATTTCCTCATAAGAGTTTACACTTGACAGATATTTAGCACTGTGGTATGGATCCATGGAAGCATTTGGGTACACAGGAACCAAACTCCTGGGTATCCTTCAGGACAAATCCTTTCAGGGGTTCCAGTTAAGTCAGTAACGCTACACAGCTGTGCAAATCCTGGAAGGATTGGTGTCAAAATCCACACCCTGTGAGACTACTGTATTTCCTTCTCTCTGTTAGTCAGAGTCCATAAGCACAGTTAGGCATGTATTTGGTCCCTTTGACTAAATTTCAATATTTATATAATGATTTTGCATGACTGGGGATTAAGTTCAGTCATTAGAAAAAAAAAAAAAAAGAAAAAGAAGAAAGAAAAAGAAGAAAATAAGATTAAAACATTGATTTAATCAAGTTTCATATGAGGTTAAAATGGAAATCTCTGTTTGAATATCTTCAAGGCATTACTTTCTTAGGTGACAAAATGGTTTCAGATGCATAAGACTTAGTGCCAATTTTAATTTACATAAGAACCCAAAAGGAAGGACAAAATAGAAATGTGGGATATTATTCATCTCCTTATCTTTCTACTACCGATGAATGCACAATAAAAACGTGTGAACAGAAGACCCCGCAGAAAAGGTTAGGACTGAGGGTTCTTTAAAGCAGTTGTCATATAGATACTGCTTTTGCATAATATTGGCTGGTAATAGAAGATACAGTTTGCTAGTGAATAAAGTTAACAAATTATAATGGATATAATGAATAAAGTTAACAAAATATAATGGAGAAAATAATTAACTGGTGTGAATCACTGCAGTTCCAGTAAACTCAGTTCAAATATTATAGATTTTTATTTCTTCTGCATCTGGGCCAAAAATAATAGGGAAATTTTCTGCTCCTTTTTGCCCGTGTAAGCCCAAAATAACTGCACAGATCTCCATGGTGTCACTCTGGATTTATGCCTGCATAGCCAAAAGCACAGCGTGGCACATCATATTCTGAATAAGAGAAGAGCCAGATATCTCTAACAATGATTAGGAAATTACAGTGTAGAGATTACAAGCAACACTATTGTACATTTGAAACAGAGACAGAAAATAGTCAGTCTCTGAAGAAACCCTTTTCCATTCTTAAAATAGCTGCCCATTCTGTTTGCTGCACCTTCTATCCTCCCTTTTCCTTGCTGTTTCATTGAAGGGGGTTCAGACAGTGGGAAATCCTCCTTGTAACCTCAGTGATCCAACATCAGTGATTCCCCGTTAAGGGGTGCAATGAATCTGCATCATTTACTTTGAGAGAGCTCTCGCTACCAGCTGGCTGTGGGCATCTTACTGATAGTGCAACACTATTAGTTGACACAACGTGATGCATCAGCAAAACTACAGGCAGGAGGGACAGGAAGGGAAGCTTTCTCTTGCATAAATAGCAATTAGGTGCTTTTACCGTGCCTAATTTGTAGTGAGTGGAAGCTAATCCATTTCTAATCAAAAGCAGTGGTGTCTCAAGAAAATTTAAATAATCTAAGGAGGCATGCAGGAAGAAATAACATATCTGAATGTGAAGCGGGATTTTTTTAATTTTTTTTTTTTTTTAACAGGACAAGATTCTTATTTCAACAAGTGGATTGTAATTGGAGGAGAAAGAGGATGTGACATTACCTGCCAAAGAGGGTCCATCTGCTCCGGAAAGAGCTCAAAGTACTTCTGAGCCAGCTGAACTGGGGGCAGTGTCTGCAGTTTCAGGTTAGTCGAGCTCTTAACAAAGTTGGCCAGGTTTGCAAAGGTGTATAAGCCCAGGCGGTCATTCCCATAATTAGACAAATGTGTCATGAAGATGCTGATCTGGGAGGCAAGAGAAACCTTTCAGTTGCCAGACATCAGGTGATGGCATCAGGAGATGGCTGGAAGTACAGGCACAGGAGCTTTGCCAAACCCTTTCTTCCTCACCCAAAACCAAAAGAAGATGATTAAAATGTCAAACTAGTTGCACTTCCTAGCCCCTCTGTGAGGATCAGATCACCAAACTTGTCACGTATGCACCATTTCTTTAAAATCCCCCTTCTTATCTGAAGGGATGTATCACTCACAGGCTCCCCATGCACTGGCATTCAAGAGATGCTTTCAGAGATTTTTTTTTTAATCTTCTGGTTTGACCTTTTTTTACAAACAACATAAAATTTGCTTCTTGCATGACTCCTGCTTACTTCATTGTTCTTCATCCCTGGGCAGGTGTCTGGGAGGCACTGACAGACGTGACGCTTGATTAGGAGTCCCCAGCACCCTGACACCTCTGTGGGAGACAGCTTTCCACTCCTCGGACATGTAGGCAAAGCTTAATTTCAGGGCTATTATTTATGAAATTGATGTGAAAAATCTGGCTAATACGCTGTCTCCTCCAGATGCAGGGTTGGCTAGTTTGTTTAAAGTGGCATGGCTGTTAAGTAGGTGAATAAATTCTGAAATATAATAATTTCAAGCCTTGGTGAATGATGATATCTCAGCTAAATATTACTGACATTGTTTCCTCCTTAAAGCTGATATATATTCTGCCTTTTTATCAGCCTTACTATGGTTCTCCTTTACATGGCCACTGCTTGGTAGATCTTGCAATTTCTTTCAGAGGAATAAAGAGAATTTGTAAGCATAATGTGAAGAATATATTTCCCAGTGTTTTTTTTACATGAGGTGATTAAACTCAGTTTCATGGCTGCAAAGGTCTGGTTTATCTGTAGATTATCAATATTTAGTTTTCTGAAGATTCTGTCAAACTGAGTACTGGTACTTGACTGTTTTACTCAGTACATTGTCCTAAGATAGGATGCACAATGACCATGGAACCTAATTATACTCTTATCAAGAAATAACATACTAACAGTAACTGAACAGTGTATATTTTTCTTCTTTTTCAGCACTATCTCTGAAGTTGACAATCAATATCCAGCAGATTGCAAAAAATACAGATTAACTGACACAACCATAGCAATTAAACAGAGCAGCATGTCAGGCAGTGCACTTAATAATGACATCATGCTTCAAGGAGGCTTTGACATCAAGGAAAAAATTAGAAGTATAAAGTTGGTTAGTTACAGTGAACTCCAGAATATGGTGGTGTGCAGTTTAGCAGTTTGCTGTCCTGCCTTAATGCAGGAAATTTCTGGAAAAGGAAAATAAAGCATCAGCTTTGTGAAGACCATGGACAATAATCTGTTCACCTTCAGGCTGGACCAGGTTCAGAAAAAGAACACAGGCTCAGGACTCTATCTCCTAGCCTTTTTGTGCCTGGTTTCAGTTAGGCAGCTGGTTTATAAAGCCTCAGGAGGGCTTGGTGCTTGAAGACCGGCATGAGCAATAGCCAGTCTGCTCAGCTACTTGTGTTGCCTGCATTACCCTGCTTGGGCACAGGTCTACAGGAAGGGGTGGGGGTAGAAGCAATGCATATTTTGGGGTCTGAAGCACCTGACTCTGAAGAGATTAGCAGTGAGGACACCTGATTCACAGGTAAATTGCTTGCTTTGCAGATACCTATATCCAGGTGAGTCTCTTTTTGGATGATTAGGAAGGGGAACTGACAGGACAGCATAGGTCTGGGTGTGAGTTCATAAAGTAATGTGCAGACAGGAGAGAGGAGGCAGCATGTGCATCTTCCTCCTGAGACTTATAGCAGGAAGCCTGTGTCTCCAGCACCTTGGGAGCGTGCTCAGGTCAGTAAGCTTTTCTGCCCTACCCCACGTGTCTTGAGCAAAGCTGGATGTAGTTTGAGTGATGCCTTGCACGACCCAGGGTTAATGTTTAGGCTGAAGTCCTTCAAATCCTGAAGTATACATTGGAGATGTCAAGGTTTATGCTGTCCTTGCCAGGGGTAGGCTGTGGCTAGGAAACTAGGGGGGCTGTCCTGGCACTTTAGTCCCTGAGTTAGAGCCCTGGAAACAAGTGTCTCATCTGGGTGGCAACCAGGCTTCCTAGCAGTTAAGCTGGTGGGAAGTGCTGAATCTCAAAACTCAGGACCTTCAAAACTAAAGTAAGTGCAAAACTCTCAGGTGAAGATTGTTATCACAATTCTCAAGAAGATTGTTATCACTGATCCACGTGGCTTGATCCTGCTGACTGTGAAAAGCTTTCCAAAACAAACTGCTGCTACCACCTGAAGATGAAGTTTGTCCTTCAGTACGTTGCTGCTTTGTGGTCCCAGGCTTGAGGTCTAGCAGAAGAACGTGCTGCTGACAAAAATACTGTGCCTGTAGCATATCATACTGTCCTGGCTTTCAAAATAACCTCGGAATAAAAAGCCACAAGGTTTCCCTTTGCACCATCTTGCTCTGCCAACATGGTGATTCTTTAAGCCTCAGCCTACAATGTTTAAAAACATATCCATTAGTTTATTAAATTATTGATAAGGCTTTTAGTACTTCTATAAGGTGAAGACGGATGGAACTTAGGAGAAAGTGTCCCTTATGGCCTATGTGCAGTGCTTTTGCACTGTGCCTAATTTTTTCCACAGAAGGTATTTTATTCTTCACTTCTGTTCTGAGCAGCAAATATTGGAGACTGTACAAGAAATTTTTCTGTTGTCTTGACTTTGCAGATTTCAGTGCCTATACATCTTATGACTGAAAGCATTTGACATAACTGGAGTGAACACTAAAATTGCCCTGAACTTTGTGCATGTTTGTAGGTAGTACCCCAGAAACTTAAAAGCAAGGTAAAGAATCTTCTTCTCTGGGTTTCCAGTCTACTGATCTTCTTCCCCCTGCCCCTCCCCGCCCCCTAGTCCAACCAAACACATAACACAAACATATCCCTTCTACTTTAGATTTCAACTTCTCAAAATGTGACAAGTGTTTCCTGCAAAGTATTTTGAAATGATGAAAAGGAAAACACTTATATGTAATGTTGATAGAGAATATCATCTTGTCTCTAAAGTGTTTTTTTATAAGTTCTAGAGGGTCTGTCAATAACATTTAATAATATTGCAGCAGTTTAATATTATTGCAGCAAATAAAGTATGCAAGTAAATCTACTTGCTCTTTTTAATACTTGAGTTTGAAGGAGATTTTTAAATGTAAAAAGGTACTTATAGGAGATGGGTATTAGCTTATTTTGAGAGTTTAATTAGGCTGTAGTCCAATCAAAAAGATTCAATTGATCACACTTTATGGAGTCAAAAGATCTTGGACATCTCTCTTGACTTTTGTTCCATTGATCTTTTCTGAAGTGAAAACCCCCCAAATATGATGCATTACACATGGGATAAAACTGTATCAAATTATTTGCTGTCCACCTCCAAATCAGTTGAGACAAAGGGAGGTGAGTATTAACTGTTCATGTGGATGGACACACAAGTTTGTTTTCATGCTGATGCTTCAATCCACAGAAAATGCAATAGTCTAGAAATGTGCTGACCCAGCATAATGCTGCTGTGTGACTTGAGTCTGGTGCTGGGATACACAATTCTGTGTCACCACTTTGCTGTGCTATTTTGGTGGACCCAAAAATGCTTCAGAACCAGCCTGGAGGGCAGGAGTGAGGAAACTAGTGAAAATCAAGGACCATGCCCTCCTGCAGTGCTCTGAGCAGAACTGGTGAATAAAGGAGAGTTGTTTTCATACTCTGTATAATGAAAAGAAAGCTGCAGCACACAGAATGATGTTAACCAGCAGGAAGCACTTAATCGAGGCAGGATGCCACTCTGTGCAACGGTGTGGTATGAAGGCAATAAATTGTTTCAAATTCCTGAAGCTGTGGAAAGGCCTCTGGCTGCATTGCATCACTCTTAAGGTTAAACTAGCATAAGTGATGTGTGTTAAGAAATGTGCAGGATGCACTGAGTAAAACCCATTGCTGTCACTATACAATCTGTAGCCAACACGCTATGGGAAATGAGGTCTGTTGTGTGTTCCTTTGGCACTGGTCATGTTTGGCCATTGGTGCCAGAACAGACACTTTGCAGAACAGCAGTGTTCAAATGATGCTGTGGCTTGTACTGATGCAGTATCTTATTAGCTTTAGCAATTTATCTTTTCTTTTGTCCCTATCACTGTGATCACTCATATTTTGAGAAGTGCAAAGGAAAGAATGCTGAAGGAGTAGGTAGGAAAGCTTTCTTTTTGCTTTCTTCTCTCTTTCTGCCGTCCACCCTCTGATCCGGATCTCAGTCACTGTCTCCCTCTCACACCCCATAATGTTTTTTGCAAAACTTCTTTCCCTTTTCTGCAGCCAAGTTCCTTTCGCTACAGAAACACTGG